AGTTCACAATAGCCACTTGTCCCTGAGCACACAACTTACTATAAAATGATATTACTTCCATGCCTACATAAATTTTGTACTGGCATTCCACTTAGGTATTAGAGTCACATCTAAACTATGAAATCTGAATACTATTTTGATGTCGGTCATGCTCGTGCAACTCCTCTCTCCATTACGCATGCTACAATATGTGCACCCATAGAAATTAAAACTCTGGGCATGACATCCACTTTTAACCATCCAATCCAAATTCACTTAGCACCTTGGTCTTATATAAGGATGCATAAAGGATCTTTGAGACCACATTTTTTTTAACCTTTTAGTTGATATTAAGCTTGTATTTAAGGGCTTGGCTATTGACTAAGGATTAAAAAAAAAAAAAAAGGACTAGATCTCAAGCTACTCTTCGTGTGATTTGCTTGTGTTTTTTTTAAATTGATATTGATTATAAATTTTTATAGTAATAATTAATTATAAATATATCTTAAAATATTATTAAATACATTAATTCATAAAAAAGTGTGAATGACAAATAAAAAAAAGATTTAATCAATTTAATTTTAAAAATAAAAACAGTTTTTCATAATTTAACACTATATTAATAAATTTAATAATGGTTAAGGCGTCGAACCCCCTCAAGGCAATTGAAGACCAAAATACTTGACAAACATCCGTCCATCCATTTTCTCCATTTATTTTATGACTAAATTATTAGTTGGTATCTACATTAAGTAGATTAAAATTATTTTAGTCCTTTAATCTCTTATTATTATAATTTTAGCATCTTAGTTTTTTAAAAGTTTAGAGTTTAATGCTTGCATGTTAGGATTTAAATTTAAAAGTGTTTAGAATATTTAGGTTAATTTTTTTTTTATACTTTAATTTTTAGGAAAATTAAGATTTAGGTTTTTTAGAATTTTGTACTTGAAGTGTTAAGGCTGAAAGGTTTTTAAAATTTAGTATTTAAGATGTTAGGTTTTAGATTCTTCTAAGATCCAATATTTAGGGTTTAAGATTTAATATTTTAAGATTTAGAATTTAATAATTTAAATATTAAAAATTAAATGACTTAAAAGTTAAAAATAGAGTTTAAAAAGTTAAAAAATGTAAAAACTATAGGGACTATCACCCTAAAAGCATCACTCTAATAAATTATGAAAGTGGCATCGAGAACCTAACTCAATTAATTAGAAGTTTGAGATTTAAAATTAAAATTCTTATGTTCGAACCTTGAGTTTGGTAGGAGGACTTTGAGAAAATTAGACATCTATTTTTTCTTTTTATATATTAATAAATTGTTTGATATTATTCATTCTCTCTGTTATCATCTCCTCCTTAATTACCTCATCTCCCTATTTATTCACATATTATACTTTTTTCAATTTCTTACACTAAAATCGTACCTCTGTCCATATTTTTTTATAAAGCATCTTCAATTCTCTAGTTTGCCTCATCATCATACACTTATATTATTATTATGCATTTTATTTTAAGCTTAGCATAGTGTATGTATCTCTTCTAATTTCTCTTTCTTAAATTAATATCTTATTCACATTATTTTATACTTTCATTACCTTTCATGTCCATTTCACCTTTCATGTCCATTTCACCTTTATTCTCTTATATTATCTTTGTTTGTGTATGTATATATTTTGTAAATCCCTCTCTATACGAGTAAATTATTTTTTTAATTTTTTATTCCTTATCCTCCCCTCTCTACTGTTCTTTCTCAATAATTTTTTACATGTATATCTTTCTACGATTATATATCTTTTTTCAATCTAATTTGTCTTCCTCTCTCTGTCATATCCATATATATATATATATAATATTAGAAATGTTTGCAAGTCAAAACATAAAACACACAACTTATTAGCATTATTTTTTTGGTACTTTATTTTTTGCTTAACTAGAGTCCATCTCTCATTAATTTTTTTTGACACCCTATCCCTTAAGTTTCCCCTCAAATTTTATATTATTCCATTTAATTCTTTATCCTAAATATTTTTCTTTCTTTTATAATACTTCCATCTTTATCCCTTTTTCTTAGACATTTCATCTATCTCAACCTATCATTACATATCTTACTTTGACCTTTTTCTTCTATTTCAACATGTTTTTATTAGAAAAATTTTATATCAAAACATAAAAGACGGAATTTATTAGTATTATTCTCCTCATATTCTTTCACTTACTTACACTCCACTTCTATCATTATTTTTCTTGAAACTTTATCTGGTAGCTTCCCTTCTTACAATCTATCATTATATTTCTCTTTATAATAAATTATCCACTTTATCTTTATATTTATCTCTATTCTACATTTGCCCTGTTTTTGCCTCAATAGATTAGGAGTTGCTTTTCTTATATTTCTTGATAGGTTGAATTCATGTACATCATAAAATGCTAATTTAGCTTTGAATTTATTAATATTTGGATGGATTTCATATGATTTTACTTGATTTTACATTATTTTCATAATTTGTGTAGGATAGAACTTAACTTTTTAAAATCAAAATATAGAACTAAATCACAATGTTTCACAACGTAAAATGATGAATAAACATGTGACAATAAGGATCAAATTGTAGAATTCTAAAATCTAAAGACTAAATTTTAAAAATTTTAAAAAATAGAGGACTAACACTATAGTT